GTCCCACATGATATCAAAGGACACAGGAACTGACTTGAAAGGACTCCTGCTGGTCAAACTTGTGACAATGTGAGCATCAGAAAGAAAGAGAAATGAAAATATACACCATAAAAAACTTGTATAAGTAACTATTCATAATAGCTTCAAACTACAAATAACTCAAATATCCATCAACAGGAGACTGGATAAACAAATTGTGCATATTTATACAATGAAATACTTCCAGGCAGTAAAAAGTGGAACTGACACATGGAACAAGGTGGATGAATCTCAGAAACATTATGCAGAGTGTAAGCTAGATTCGAAAGACTACATACTGCATGTTTCCATTTACATAAAGTTCTAGAGCAGTCAAGACCGTTCTGTAAAGAACAAAATCAGGACATTGCTTGCCTGGGGCATGGGAGTTGATTAAGAAGGGGCCTGAGGAAACTTTCCAGATGATAGAAATGTTCTGTATCTGATAGGGTGTTGCTTACACAGGCATATAAACCTATGTCACATTCATCAAATTCAACACGTAAGGCCTGTGCATTTCATTGTCGGTAAGTGATAACCTAACCAACCAAAGGAAAATAGATTAACAACAGTTAAGGATTATGACACATTAACTAAAAAAGAATCCAGGCGTCCATAATGATTCCTCAGATTAAAAGGAAATGAGCTTTTTTTTTTTTTTAGGAGATTATAATCTAATAAAAAGTGAAGAATGATAGAATTAGAAAATTCCTGTTTTGCAACCACCGCATAGTAATAAAAGGATCATTAAAGGAGATATGACATTGAAAAACAATGCAGAATCCTTGATTGAATCCTTGGGGTGTGTGTGTGTGTGTGTTAAGACTGTAGGAGATATTCTGGGGGCAATTACAGACATTTGACAGTAATATTATATCAACATTAGATTTCTTGTGTGTGATGGTATCATGGTTAATAGGAGCATAACCTTGTTCTTAGGAGATACATGCTGACTTATTGGGGTGAAGTGTCATGATATCCGTAATTTACTTTCAAATGGCTTAGCAAAAAAATTTGATGTATATATAGATATAGATCTATGTGTATACACAAAGAGTAGATAAAGACAAAACAATGTTAACAACTGGTGAGTCTAAGCAAGGAGTATATAAGTATTCAGAGTATTATTCTTTCAATTTTTCTGTAGATTTGAAAAAATTTCCTCATAAAAGCTGAGGGAAAGTAAGACAATGAAATTAAGTGCTTGGCCAATGGTAAGTGCTCAGTGACGTTTGGGTCCTAAACAGGAGTATAAACTCCAGGAAGGCAGGGCTTTCGTTTGGCTCTGTATCCCTCACCCCTGCAACAGTGCCATGTATGATGATACTCAACAAATATTTTGAAACAAATCCTTGAGAAGTTGTACATTAGAAATATAATGTGAAAAAAAATCTAATTGTACAAAGTAACACCACAGAATGATACATGATTACATGCGTCAATTGTTTCTATGGTCTATTCACACTGCTACTGTGACGGTTGCTTTTTTATTTTTTTTTTTTATTTTTTTACAGAGAGGAAGGGTGTGGGATAGAGAGTTAGAAACATCGATGAGAAAAAAACATTGATCAGCTGCCTCCTGTACACCCTCCCCCGGGGATGTGCCTGCAACCAAGGTACATGCCCTTGACCGGAAACTAATCTGGGACCTTTCAGTCTGCAGGCCGACACTCTACCACTGAGCCAAACTGGTTTTGGCTATGACCAAAACCGGTTTGGCTCAGTGGTGGAACGTTGGTCTGCGGACTGAAAGGTCCTGGGTTTGATTCCGGTCAAGGGCATGTACGTTGGCTGCGGGCACATTCCCAGGTAGGGGATGTGCAGGAGGCAGCTGGTCGATGTTTCTCTCATCGACGTTTCTGGCTCTCTATCTCCCTCCCTTCCTCTCTGTAAAAAATCAATAAAATATATTAATAAATAAATAAATAAATAAATAAATAAATAAATAAATAAATAAAATGGCTTTTCTATGATTAGAAAAGTGATTTTAAAAAATTTGCACTTGGTAATTCATCTGCTCAACTGAGTTTAGCAAGTTGTTTACAAGAAGCAATACACTCTAACATCAGTGTGTTTGGTTTAGCCACTTGGGATTATTGTGGGGGAGTGGGGGGTGGGAGGGTGAGATTAGTCAGTTTTGGAGTTTCATTTTTTTCACTATTGCTGACATCCACTGGCCTCTTATGGGAGGGGTACTATGCCCTCTGGTGGTGAGAGGCACTCATTTCTATGGAAAAGGTCCGCAGGACAGAGATGAAGTGGAAAAGAGTGCCCTTTACTCAGAGGTTTCTGGGTAAATAGCTCCTTATTTGCTAGTTATATAGTGACCTTCATGACTGAGTTTGACGTAAAAATTTTTGACTCAGTGAATAGCCATCTTTGGGAAATTGTCTGGGCCAGGCTGGACTGAGGAAGTTATAAATTTTGGAATGGAAAGTGGCATCTGTAGTTGGGTCAAAGCTGAGCCAACCACAAGTCTTATGGAAGACTTGTCCCCAGCATGAGTCCCAAGAGATACATGGGGACCATATGAACTGTAAGATTTGTCAGGATCCTGTCTCCTGCTGTGACAAAGATGAAAGCATACGCCACCATATGCCCCAGGATGAGCTCTGATTGGAATCCTGGGCCTGCAATTGTCCAGAGAAGGCTGGCTGCTGTCCAGACAGCTCACCAATGATCAGCTTTGTATTCCTGGAAACACTCCCCCCACCCCCCTTTCTTTCCTCTTAATTTCTAACATTAAAACACCTTTTTCCTAAGTGTAAAAAATGTTATGTGGTCTATATAAAAATATGAAAAATATTAATGAGGTAAAAATCACATGAAATCTGTTTACATCAAGCATGTCAACTCAAAGGCTAACACGGGCTAAATAAACAAGGTTTAAGTTTATGTGGACTGCAAAAAAAGAAAAGCTTCAATTTTCATAGAAAGGTAGGTTTATTTTGATAGAGACATGCTGAATGCAAATGAGTAATCATTAACAAAAATACAATAGAACATTTTAATAAAAATTAATATTTTTTTCTTGAACATTAACTTATCAGACACTAAATAACATTACAAATTAATACGTATAATGCAAATAAACCTATTTTTCTTGTTCTCCGAAAAATCTCTATTGCACACACCAAACAAGTCAGTATAAGACTAATGATGTGGCAATCGGCTGATAAAATATTCACTGCTAGTATTAGTGGAAAGAAATGGTGTGCCTACACATAAGGTGCATAAGGGAAATGAATGCAACAGGATTATAGTAAACAGTCATTAGTGAACATGTGGTTTGTTATTAATAATTATGTATAACAAGATATTGTAAAAATTAAGTTACAAAACTTTTATTAAAACATTTATTACATACTGTTATATTGGCTGGCCGCAAAAATATTCACTGTGGGCCACTTGCAGCTCATGAGTTTGACATGCTTGATGTACATTGTGATAACTACAGTTGACATTTTGATGACTTTTCTTTCAGGTAATTCTGTACATATAACCACATAGGGTAAGAAAGTCTAATTATACATTAATGAGATCATAACAAATCTATTCCTTTATAACTTGCTTTGTTTTTATTTCATGTGTGGTGAGTATCTTTCTATCTAGGTATAGATATATAATTTATATTTTTAAATTGTTAAAGTTATATATGCTTACAGTAAAATGCAAATAATAGTGTAAAAGTTAGGAAATGAACATTTCCCCCACTTCCTAATTCCATTCCTCCATATAATTGCTTTAACTATTTTGTGCATAATTTTCAGACTTTGTAATGTGGATATAAATTTATAAGTAGAATTTGGCTGCTGTGGCTCAATGGTTGAATATTGAGCTATGAACCAAGAGGTCATGGTTCTATTCTTGGTCAGGGCACATGCCTGGGTTATGGCTGGATCCCCAGTAGAGGGTGTGCATGAGGCAGTGATTCTCTGTCATCATTGATGTTTCTATCTTTCTCCCTCTCCCTTCTTCTCTCTAAAACCAATAAAAATATTTTTTAAAATTTAAAAAATAAATTTTAAAATTTATATAAGTAGATAATTTTTATATAAATTGGATTACACGTTGGTCTTCCATGAGGTTTTTTTTTTTAATTTAACTGCGTCAGGAACATTTTTTCATATCAGAGTGTGTGCATGTAATATTTCTTTTAGTGACTGCATAGTATTCTACAGTATAAATGAGCCTTGGTTCATATAACCGGCCACCTATTGATGAATATTGAGGTTATTTTTAGTATATTGATATATAAAAACCTCGCTGAATAGTCAAGTTCCCTCTGACAGAATATGACATCGCAATTTACCAATCCCTTTTCCTTCCATTATTTCGTTTAACTTCATTGCAACCTACCCAGTTTCACAATTTGCCCAGTTACTGTGCGTTTATTTATGTATGGACTTGCAGTCTTCCCGTGTAACCTGCATTCCCAGTCAGGATATCTAGTTAGTCTGCTCTGCGCACCACTGTATTGCCAACGACCCGCTTAGTGCCAGGTGCAAAGCAGGCCCCTAAGAACTATTTATTGGCTCTATAGGCTCCCAATAAACTACTGATTGAATGAAATTGCACAGGGAGTCGAGATCGGCGGAGAGACAGGGAGGAATTACATGAGGCTTGATTCTTGGCCTGGAGCCCAGATCTTTCCCCGGCCAGGTGGCTGTAACGTCCCCAAACAGATAAGAAATGGGAGCGTGCGCAAGCAGGACTCGTCCTGGGCCTGGGGGACCTCGCCACCGAAATGTCGCACCCAAGGGCCCCACAAGCAACTGAGGCAGCCAAGTTCTCAACGCACCTGCCCCGCCTGAAACCAAGACTACATTTCCCAGCAGCCCCCGCGGCGCGCACAGTGCCTGCCACGCGGCTTGTGCCTCCACCGATGGCCCGCTGGGGGCGCTGCGGCGACCCCTCTGCCGCCCCGTAGAAATCTCCGCGGCCCTGGGGCCGCTTGCTTCCTGTTTGTCCGACGAGGAGACATGGCGGCGGCGCCGGCGGCGGCTGGGTCTGGGGCCGGCCGAGGGCGACGGGCGGCGGCCACGGTGGCGGCTTGGGGCGGATGGGGCGGCCGGCCGCGACCCGTCAACATCCTGCTGCAGCTGCGGCAGGGCCAGCTGACCGGCCGGGGCCTGGTCCGGGCCGTGCAGGTACGAAGCCGGCCCGGAGGGGCGGGGCGGGGCGGGGCGGACCGGGCGGGAGCTGGCGAGGGGCCGGGGCAGAGGCCTTTCCGGCCGCCGCTAGACGGGCCCGACCCCCTCGGACGGCCGCGGGGTCTCCCCGCGGGTTGCACGCACGCTGTCAGCCGCGGCGGGTGGCGGGCACCGGCCGTCTCCAGGCCCCTGGTTCGGGGCCGAGCGGGGCCGGGCTGCATCGTGCCCCGATGGCGTGTGCGAGCCCGGGGCCTGCGGCTGGGTCCTGCCTGCTCTGCGCCACGTCCGCACGTCTGGGGGACTCGGGGCGAGTTGGCTTCCGCCTTGTGAAGTGACCGGGGCGGCCCGTGGTCATGTCCGCCCCTAAACGTGTCTTAAGTTTGTCATTGTGTCATTCTCTCAGAGGCCTTTCCTGGACACCCCTCCACCCCCCAACCCAAGTAAGTCCTCATTGTTATTCAGGCACAGTCCGAGTGTGTTTCGTTCACATTACTTCCCTAGTGTGTGATTGCATATTTCTTTGTTGTCTACCCCGTGTTTCTCACCGGTATCTCACATTATTAGGCTCTGCTCCAGCGGGTGCAGGGACTGGCTCTGTTTTGCCAAGGTTAGTGTCATGGTTAAGAGTGGTATCAGGCCTGGATTTCGAAGCCCCTGCTGCTCTCTCTTGCTCGGGCAACTTAGCTTCTCTGCCTCAGTTTCCCCATTTGTAAAGTGGAGATAATAATTAGGAACCTACCCCAAGGTGTTGTGGGGGTCGGAGGGGAGTGTATTGTGTAAAGCGTTAAATACGTTTCCGGTGCATAGTAAGGGTACAAGGGTAAACAGTTAATATTAATGCTATATTTGTTATCTGGTTTATAATAGGCGCCCAACATGTGATTATTACTGTTTTTTTAATGAACGAAGGCCATTGCTTTAAGTTTAGGTTAAAGCAGGATGAATGACACTCCTTGCTCCTTCCCATCCTCCTCCTAGTTCCTAGTACTTACATTGTAAACACACCTGTGCAACATTAACTTAATTTAAAGACAGCTCTTGCATAAAGAAACTTTTTAACAAATATTTTTTTTAAATTGATTTCAGAGAGGAATGGAGAGGGACAGAGAGTTAGAAACATCAATGATGAGAATCATTGATCGACTGCTTTCTACACACCCCTCACTGGAGATCAACCTGGCACGTGCCCGTAATTGGAATTGTACCTGGGACCCTTCAGTCCACAGGCTGATGCTCTATCCACTGAGCCAAACCAGGGCAATAAAGAAACCTTTGAAGGATACACAAAAAAGTAATAAAGTGTTTGGTGGGAGTGGTGGCAATTGTGTAGATGGAGAGAATATGGGAGTGATACTTTCTACGGTGTAACTTTATATGTGTATGTTAATCTCGAGCCATTTCAGTATTGTTTACTCAAGATTAGAAGGTCAGAATAAAAGAAAGACAAGGTGGTCAGTTTGTATGGAGGTTCACAGATGAAGCTGTTCTGGGGGAGCAGTGTTTTCCTGGACATGGGGATAAGCATAGATGAGCAACTTTTTCTCGCTGGCAATCTCTCTCTGCCTTAAGAAGATCCTGGAAATACTTGCTCTATCCTTCTTTAAACCAAAGTGCCTTACTGAGCTGGCTCTTAGGGCAGGCAGAAAGGCAGCTAACTTACCATTACTGATCAGCTACTTTGGCTCAAGTATTGTGCAAGGTATACAGTGTTGTCATTTAATACTCAGGTTTTTTTTGTGTGTGTTTTTTTTAAATATATTTTATTGATTTTTTTACAGAGCGGAAAGGAGAGAGATAGAGAGCTAGAAACATCGATGAGAGAGAAACATCGACCAGCTGCCTCTTGCACACCCCTTACCGGGGATGTGCCCGCAACCAACGTACATGCTCTTGACCGGAATCGAACCTGGTACCTTTTAGTCCGCAGACCAACGCTCTACCACTGAGCCAAACCGGCTTTAGCTAATCCTCAGGTTTTTTTTTTTAATTCAATGTCTCGACTCATCCCTTAATACAGATGAGAAAGCTAAGACAGTGAAAGGTTAGATACTTTGCTCCTGAACACAATCCTCTGTTCTGAGGGCAATAGAGAGGCATGAGAGTTCTTAAGCATAGTGACTGGGGCAATTTAGGACGCTTAATTTGTTTTCAGTGTTGGATTATTTGGGATGGAAGGAGACTGGAGGAGATCACCAGAGAGAAGGCTTCTGGAGTATTGGTGTAGGCTGATGGTTGTGTGATACAGTGCACAGGTCTGGAGGTGCAGATGGAGACACCTTCCCAGAACTGGAGTGAGGATCAAGTGGGGACCTTCATCTTTCAGATGTATTCCTCTTCTGGTAACTTTTCTTGATTTCTTCTTTGCCACACCTCCCACCCTTTCTCCCCCATATTGCAGAATAAATTAGTTTTGTAAAGGTATTTCTTTTCTTCTGTAAATCTTCACCAGAGGATATGTTTTCCATTGATTCTAGAGAGTGAGGGAGGGAAGACGGAAGAGAGGGTGGGAGGGAGGGAACCATCTGTGTGAGAGAGAAACCTCAATTGGTTGCCTCTCTGTGTTCACCACAACCTCGCCCTGACTGGGAATCAAACCAGCCTCGGTATATGCTCTGACTGGGAGTCAAAACGAGACCCTTTGGAGCACAGGACGATGCACTAACCAGCTGAACCACACTGACCAGGGCCTTGCAGGTATTGCTATAGTACAGTAAGCATATCCATTATGGCATGAGCTATAATGGGAAAGACCAGATTTTTAAAAAAAAATTTTTTTAATTGTGATACATAAAAAAAAACATAACACGTACGATCTTATCCATTTTTAGGTGTACAGTCCAGTAGTGTTAAGTATATTCACGTTGTTGTGAAACAGATCGCCAGAATTTTTTCATCTTGAAAATCTGAAGTTCTAGCCCTAGACGGTTTGGCTCAGTGGGTAGAATGTCAGCATGCAGGACTGAAGGGTCCCGGTTCTATTCTGATGATGGGCACATGCCCAGGTTGCAGGCTCAGTCACCTGCAGGAGGCAGCCAATCAATAATTCTCATCATTGATGTTTCTGTCTCTCTTTCCCTCTCCCTTCCTCTCTGAAATCAATAAAAATATATTAAAAAAAAAAAAAAAAGAAAATCTGAAATTCTATACCCAGTAGACAACCCTCCCTTTTCCCCATCAGCTTCTGGTAACCACCACTCAACTTTCTGTTTCTGTGAATTTGAATATTTAGATAACTCATGTGAGTGGAATCATTCACTTAGAATAATGTCCTTAAGGTTCACCCACGTTGTAACATGTAATAGGAAATCATTGGGAAAAAACAGATTTTCAAGGTGGTCCTGGATTGAACACTAGTTCTGTCATTCACTGGTTGAGTGACCTATGGTGTATTATTTAACCTCAGTTTCCTTATTTCTAAAATGTCAATAACATCTACCTCCTAGTGTTGTTAGGAGGATTAAGTGCAATGATATGTCTAAAACGCACATAATAGATGTTTATTCAGAGTTGCTGTCAACCTGCAGCTCTTAGGGACATTATCTTGAGGGACTTTATCTTATTTTTCTTTACATCCGCAGAGACTGCAATGGTGCCAGGCACTTGATGGGGACTCGGGTCTCAGTAAATTGTTTGATGGCATAGTCTTCCTCCTCCTCAGTCATGCTCTCTCTGTACTCCCAAACAGTCCAGTGGCCCGTAAAGAAATCAGATAACTTAGGTGTGAATCCCAGCTCTGGCCCATGCTTACTATGTGTCTCTGGGCAAGTTACTTAATTTCTTTATATCTCAGTTTGTTCATTTGTAAGATAAGGACAGTCATGGGGCTAATCTGTTAAGGTTAGGAACAAGTGAATACTAATTGCAGGTATTGCTATAAAGCACCTAAATAGTGTCTGAAACACAATAAGCATGCTGTAAAGGTTAGTGAGTATTGTTTTTAATAAGTACTCCATATTCTGATGGATCCTAATTCTATATTTCCATCCTAATATCTCCACTTTTACTCCAGATGGGTATATCCAAATACCTTCTCACCATCTCCATTTAGATATCTAATGGACATCTCAAACTTAATATGTCAAAAATAATATTCCCGATTCCTCTTCCACTGAACCTGACCTTCCTTCCCCAAGTCTTGCCTGTTTCCCTCCATGGGACTTAAAAGGAGCCCAGGAGAGACGCCTGGTCACGTGGTTGAGAATAGGCCTGGCCTACTTAGGCTTCAGTGTGCCTTATTTCCATCTCCCTCTCAATCTGTCCTCTGTTCAGGTAATAAAATACGCTGGTATATGCTTCAGCATTTACAGAGCTTATTCACACTCCTCAGCACATTTGATCCATAAAGCAAATCAGATCCTCCAGTGCCATCTCATTGCAGTTAGAATAAATCTACATTTCTTACCTACAGCCCCTAGAGATACTGCTTCAGATACTCCTGGTTATGACATCCTTGTTCTGTTTTCCAGTCATTATCTTTTAAATGATCACTGGCATATCAAATTCCTGTTTTCCTGAGTGTTAATTACTTCATATTTTTTTACTTAGATGGAGTCCTCCCTTTAAAAAAATTCAGTGGGTGCTACTTGTTTTACCTTTATTCCAATAAGCATTAGTATTTGTGAAACCTTAGGGTTTCACAAATATAGTCAAATATAAGTCAAATATAGTCTTCAGGGGAAGGTAATTTGATACTGAAAAAACTCTGAATAGAATAAATTCTCATAAATTAAAAATATAAATACCATTAATCTTAATAGGAAGTTTTTGTATTCACAGGCCATAAAATTTATTTCTAATTATATTGAAACAAAACAAATCCTATTAAAGTGGACACAAGTAATCATTGGTTCCCATTTGTTACCAGAATAACCTAACAAGGTATTTAATCTTCATTAATTATCCTTTAAGATGGGTATTTCCTTGCACTTAATATGGTATTTTGAGGTTTGGATATCTTACACTTAGGATTAAACAAACAATGTACATTGGTGTATATA